CAGTTTTCGAGACAGTTGATTTACCCGTACCAGCAACTCCAAAACATTCTTGATATTCATTCTATAGGTGTTGGTGAAGAAAACTTTTAAGCAAATAACCCCTGCCTTAATATCTTTAACCAATAAAGCTAGGAAGAACTGTATGTCAACCGAAGAAGTGCGATCAACAAGAAATAACTTAGCTACAGAACCTGAAAAAGTGATCAGAGGCCTGTAAAGCGGTACAACAAAAGTGAGTCTCAAGAACTAAAGCCAGGTGGCTAGAAACGACCAGTTTCCTTTACTTGGACAATTGATGTTGGGTTAACCGACATTGGATGTTGGACACTTGTAAAAGTGCTGAATAGGAGTATGTACGTTACTTTTTGGATTTTATATACGTTTCTTATTTCCACTTATTTTACATTTGCTGACTGCGATCGTAGCTTTTTCACCCCAGTAAATTATTTAGTCAGTCGACTAGATTTATACTAATGGTTTTTACTTGATAGTTTCGCATACATGTACATTGTAAAAATTTAGTTCTGTGGTTCAAAGTAGTAGTAGTCCTGACCAACTCGATCCTACTTCGGCTTTCGCTGGGTTGGCTGATCAAGTAAGCACTTACTAAAGACGGTAGTAAAACCTAACTGGTACTGCAAGAATCATGGTCCAAGAAATAGGTGCGAAAGATCAAAAACCATCTTTTTTTTCCTGCTCGCACTATTAGTGTTGGATATTTGAACTGTAGATATGCTTTTAAAACTCAGGATGGCCAATAAAATTCCAGATGTACCTGATAACGTTTGACCGCTCCTCAAAGGTATGACTTGTGTACAGTGGTACATATTTTTTAAGACTCATTTCAGTATTGGACTGCACTCTGTTACAATAAATAGGGTTAACGAAAAAAACATGTCAAATTTTAGTAACATTATGAAGGTAAGGTCTTTGCTGAAATTATGGCACATAACAGGCACTTTCGGGACTTCAAGACTTCTAGAATGTTCGGGGAAATATTTGGTTTACACGGTAGGTTGAATTGTTGCACTTCCTTGTGTGCATCCTCAGGTTTTCCGAAGTATCTCCAACCTGTAAGCTAGTGCTCGAAAACTAAAAGTTTTCCGTGCTCGCTCTACCGATACAAAACGTAGGAAAGATTTTGTTTTATAAATCATCGTTAGAAAATACGATGAGGGTGGCTAACACATCTGCAGAGCTGATTACTTAAGGTTTTGGAGTTCTACAATCTTATTGTCGTCTTTTAAAATTTTTCGCGGGCTTTATATTAGGACTTTTAGTGGCATATTGATTTTTAAAAGCAATGCGGTGACTCCTGGACCCTAGCCAAATTTGTGCGTGAGTCCTAAACACAAATTTTGAAGTTTATTGACAAAATGATACTGTTTGTAACGATTACCACCGGAATAACAACGATCAGTGCCTTCAACTTTGCTGGTCTCGTGGGGAACATTGCCGAATCACTAAAAAAAACTCAACAAGATCATGGTAAATAAACTGCAAGCAATGTACAGTCAAAATTAGAAGCTCACCAACAAAATCAGCCCATGTACGAAATCAGAGGAACAAAACCAGTCTAAATGGAGGTTATCTGTGAAAAATGTTGGACAGACATATGTGAATGGGACTCAAATACAGAGTATCGAACAGAGAAAGTGGGTGGGTAGTTGGTTAGAATTCCAAATACAGCTTGTTGAGGTACAAAGATGAACACAATTGTAGACAGGTAATAACAAATTAATCTGTAATTGCTGTTGAATAACCAATTTCCACTGCGAATCCCCAATTAGACCTGGTAAGAATGCTAGGGTTCTCATTTATTCCTGTCCATCCAGGTCTAGCAACATATATTTACTATCTGGAACCGTAGGAAAGATATTTCATGTATATATACGAGTGTATTCCCAAGTTAAGCGGTTAAAGTGCATGACATTGTTGTTTTACGTCCTTCTTATTTCGCATAAATCCATCAAGTATCTAAGGGTTACTGACCAGGTTATTGTCATGATAGTCAGGATCTGTGGAAAGTATAGGTATTGTCAGTGTTTTCCCCTAGTTTAGTCTGACTATGCGCTTTGGGGAAATTTGTATTCAGCAGTAGTAGTGGTAGTTTTATTCTTTAATATACCACTGAATGAGGTTCGGATTACCAATATGTAAGGTTTCACTTGTAGTGTATGCACCTAAATTGTGTGCAAATTTATTATTCGGTAAAAAGCGGTGTATATTGATGATTATATAGACAGAATGTGGCTTAAGACTAGAAGTCGAGTTGAATTGAGGAATTAATGCCAGAAAAACCGACAGACGAAATCAACGTGGAACCCTGCTTAAGAGACCATCGCTTTAAGTTGTTACACCTCACAGCAGCATACAAAGAACATAAGTGAGTGGAAAGACTCATATCAAAGTTAACAAAGCCGTATGGGAAGAGAGGAAACCTAAAGACTAGGGTTAGCCAAAACACTCAAGATTTAGAAGACCTGAAAAAGCGAATACATCTGCGGCACTATGACCGATTTCCAGCCATTTAACAGAGTATCCAGCCACTTATTCCTTTCGTCTCCGACTCCAGCCAAATAGTCTACACCTCCCTACTTGGCTCAAACCAACAGTCAGGGACTTCATAGACTGGTGCTACGTCTTGGTCCGGCCACCATAAACATTGCAATTTAATCCAACACTTAACATTTCACATCAATGTGAGGGTACCTTGGCGAGTGCAGCGCATGTCCAAGTCATCTCAGTCACTGAAGATTGACATCCTCATCGACCGACTTGCCTGCCTTGAGACAGTTGTGTAGTTACTTTGATATGACTGGACAATAAATAAATCATGTCAGTAAATAATACTATTCCATTGTGGGATATCTCTAGTAAATCAACTAGAATGGAATTAGATTCTACCACAGTGCTCAATGTTTACTCATATTAATAGAAAAGATTGACCCTTAAAAATTCACATCCCGCTCCACTCCACGACACTTTCAGTTGTCTTTCGATAATTTCAGCTTACATGCCCACTGACTACGGAAAGAAACTTTCAAATATAATGATCCTAGCAGGTGACTTCAATGCTTTGATATAGAGGGACTGAGCTAATGGAGAGGCATCTTGGTACTGTCTACAGAATCCCACGCCAACTGTGATGGTCTTTTACAATTTGTTCTGACAATCATTTTCCTGGCTAATATTATCTTTCTCACTCGGTGGCTGCCAATACTTGGATGATAATAAACAGATGCATCATCTTACATTATACCATCATTAGATAGGATCGTTGAAGTACTTATATTTTTGAAATATGCTTTAGTTCAAGCAAGAGTGTTTGTGATTAAATTGGTATGAAAAACAAGCGGCTGGAGGGCCTCTTTGTGTTCAGCTGGACGACGAAAACATCAAGATCATATTCAGCGAGTAAGTGGCTAGACATTTATCTGAACATCAGATTAATTCTAATCCTGACAGAGCCTGGGGTAATATTTAGTTTGCTGCAAAAGCAACAGTAATAAAAGTCAGCAACCTCTGACTAAAGACCAATAAAGTCCAGTGGGTTTCTGTAACCCCATCTCATTTATATAGTGCCAAAACTGATTCCAGGAGAATGCGATCACGATAAAAAACTAAAAGTGTCCGCAGAAATTGACTAAAAGTTCATGTAATGTTTATGAGCAGGGAAAGCGAAAGAGCTAGGAAATACGTCAACAATGAACAGTACTCACTAATCTGAGTTTATGAAAGGAAGTGACACATAAAGCCGATGATCAGTTAAACTGCTGTCAAGAAGAGTGGGTTTTTAATAATATCCCAGTGCATATGTCACTAATTTCCATCCTGGACCGCATCTGATGTTAAAACGCCAACCGGAAAAATATAGAGTACCAACAGATGTTAATTCAACAGCTATTTGTCATCCCATGATGCCTTATCATACAGTAATCGCCTCTCTATTACTTCCAACCAGCTACAGGATTAGTAAATTGATCGTAATAGGAACCTTTGAGATAATATTTATAACGACCAAACTAATGAGGTGGTTTAAGTGAATGGAAGACATCTTTCATCAAGACCAGATATACATCACCCCACCTCAGTTAATTGCAGTATAACTCCACAATATGCGGGCAGTTTTACGGAGACAGTGTTGATCTAGCACGCAGATTCCTCGAACGTTTTCAGCTCAGGGACCAGTTTTCACGGATTTTGAGTATAAATGCACACACTGAGGTTATTGTATACCCGACCCTATATAACAAAGCTACCCAACCCTCCTTGACTGTCTAAAACTCAGAAGATAGATTGGGACTCTAATCCGCGACCCATTAGTTGAGAGTTGAATGTCTAGACCAATGGGCAACAGATGATTATTTTGTTCTAAATCTTCCAGTCCATAGTGGGCGACCAGAACATTTGCAGTGTTAGTTGTACGAGGAAAACACCTTACTGTCATTAAAAAAAGCACACACTAAGCCATTTTATCCGCTCTTCGCATTTAAACGTTATTCCACTCTATTTCTAGGCGAGAACACCTGCATGGTTGCATCAAACGATGAGACTGTAGACTGTTTTGGTCTTAGAAGGTGTAAACGAGTGTAATTATATAATTATCCATGTAAACAAGTATGTCATTCTGTGAACTGGTGAGGCTATGGTTCATTGGTCTAGGTGGGGTTGCTGCTCAGTGGTTTAGGAAGATGATTATCAGCCAGTGGGTCGCAAGTTCGAACACCGCTCCACCTACCCAGGTTTGTGCAGCCATATAGTATCACTGGCACTTACACAAAGATGTTTCTCATTGAGTTGTGTGTGTGTGGTTTCTGAATGAATTTCGATTTCCTCTAATCAGTTGAAAGTTGCTCTTTTTCAAATATAATTGTATTTCAGCTCACCTATTTATTTTTTGTACTCCAAATTTTCTCTTACAATTGAATTGCACTTTTTCTTCATTGAGGTTTCGCCTGTAAACTAGATCGGGATTGATCAGTAATATATTCAGAGATATGGTTTGTGTCCCTTGCATTATCATTCCTATTTTGTTATGGATTCTGCATCGATTACTACTTCCAGTAATACACTTTTTTATTCCAAGTCTAAAGCATCATCCGGAAGATGTGAAAGAGGAACTGGTAAGTAGTACATATTACATGGGTAATTCTCATTTAAAAGAATGATTTGTAATTACTATTAATAATTACTATCATAAGAACTATTGGGCTTGAATGAGTTCAGTAATGTAAACAAAATAGGTGGGGAAAAAACTCGTATGCTTTTTATATTTACATTCCATGCACTAATAACCAAGGGTAATAATCAAAAACATGCTTTACCATTTTCAATACACATCATCGGCCTTCAATTTTTTACCTACCTTTCGTTAAGAAAAAAAATCCTACGTGCAAATTAATGTACTACATTTGTAAAACTGGTTTAGAGTCAGAACATATTACTGTATGTGATTATCATTTGTCATTGAATATCTTTAGTTGGGTTCACTTGATCTACGCTACACTCCGTTCTGTCTTGTTATGTGGATGTGAGACAACGCAGTTAAAAGAAGATGACTGGACGACCTAAGAAGGACCATAAAGGATAGTGACATAAATTAACTTCTATTTGCGCTCACCGACGGTGCACCATCTGACTACGGTTTGGCCTATACAAAGGATGAGATCCGCCAAAAGCTATCAGCTTTGCTCCTGCTGTATTACCTTTCAGTGAAGTAATAAGAATGAATATTTCGTACAACTACTGATATAACCCCTTTCTGGGTAAGGGAGACCGTGGTTCTTCATGCGTCATCACAAGAAGCTTTTACGGATAGTGGCACAGTATTATTACTTTGGTTCACTGAGGTTCCAGTTGCTGCATATAAGTTCGATATGAGTCTGTGTGACATGTTCGCTGTTGGATTTCACAGTGTTAAAAACAGGAATGCTTTTGTCATAATCAATGAGAAATCAGCTTCATTACCATAGTTTCTAAAATCCCAAGTTATCTGACTCCCTGACGCTTAACTGTAGCTTAAAAACATCCAGTCGGAGAAAAATAGGCAAGTTTCAAGCCTAACAATGGATGGGGATGTCGAACAAATCTTCGCTTTCCACTTAATCCTGAAATACAAGTGTACTTATCGGTACCCTACACCTGTCGTATTTCCAAAGCTAAAGGCAATATTCTACTTTGTTGGCCTAGACATCGTATATTACCAATTTCATTTGTAGGAGTCCCTCATAAGTCTACCAAAGAAAGGTGGATAAGTCAACATTAAACCTTTCATATTATTTCATAAGTTCAAGTTTGCACACTTCATATCAAAATGATCATGAGTAGAGCTGTAAGTCAGTGTTTTGGGGAGATGATTATCAACCACTAGGTCGCGGGTTTTAGACCTATTCCACCTACCCAGCTTTGGGTAGCCAGGTAGTATATCGTTAGCCCTCACGCAATAAGTGTGACTCCAACTGCACGAATTCACACAAGGTGGCTAAGTGTTTTCCGTTCATACAGACCTACTCCAGCCAGCTTGAAGGCTTTATACTGAAATATCTATAGTTGTGTAGGCATCTGGTTTATACTGTCTTTCAGATTGTTGACGTCAAATATCTCTTAGTTATTTCCACTGTCCCCATATTAACGTAGCTCCGTTATTCATGCGATTATTAAGACTGGTTTAATCGTCGACTTCTCAAGGATTGTTTTCTTCACTGAAGTTTTTCAGACAATATAGTCATATTAGACGAGGAGGTCAATAATTTACATTGTTTTCTAGACTCTTTGAATACAAATCCGAGAACATTTGGTATGCATTTTTCACTGTGTAAGTGTGAATTTCCGCTTCAGGAGTATTCTGTATGATTGTTTGAGGTCGAGTGGACTGTGTAGTAGGACTGTCTCCTTAGTAATTAGGTATCTGACCTTCGCATTCAATTTCCTACTTAGCTCTACGATATCTGTTCAGCGCACTTGAATGATAACTAAATCAGTAGATGGTAGAATATCGCTAGCTACTCCTGGAGACCAGTGTGTCTGAGTGCAGTTAAGAATGCGGAAGAGTCATTGTTTCTTTTGTCAATCACTTTATAATGTAACCAAAACTTCTAGACCGTCGGTACAGACGTGATTATTGGTGGGGAGTTGGGTGAGTCCAGTTTAAATTCCAGTAGTCTATGGAACGCAAATCTACGATTCCAAGGGTCGACAACACTATTTTAACAGCTCTTAAATGACTCAAAATAGTAAAGATAGATCAGAATTATTAACAATGGTAAGCAGCCGACTTAAATACATTTTGAATAGGAGTTAATCAGAGTAAAATAAACTTAATAGGCATAGTGTAAGGCTAAAGACAGATAGCAAGCAAAAGAATGATTTTCAAAGAGAAGAAAGCCCATTTCTTGGCAGAGACTGTTGAAACTGTTGAGACTCGTTGAAACTGTAGTCACTGTGATGCCGTTGTGATGCTCAGAATGAAGTAGATGGTTGCCTTAGGAGATCACTTTTTAGCCTTCAGCTTAAAGTTGAATTTACAAAGAAATAGAGCATCATAAGAGATTGCTTTTTCTTGGCTAACAATAGTCAGAATAAATTCATACGATATTCATCTCTTCATAGTATGTACCCCTGTATTCACCGACATTAGCTCTAGAAGTATCTTTAAGACAGGATAGTTTCTACATAGAAATAATTAAGTAGAATTTTCTTTGTAGAAGCTTTGAATGGAACGCTTTAAAGAAAAAAAGTGTCCGGGATCCATTTCGGCAATACGAGGGGATTTCACAATGAGATGTACAAACTTCTAAGAGATTTTAGCCTTTCTTTTCTTCTTAGATCACAACATTACTAGTATAAAACCTGTTTACTTGTACACTAATCAGTATGAAGCTGTTGCATCTAGACCGATTACAAGTACTTAACTGATGGTAACAGATATATTTTCCATAGTAAAAGTCTTGATTATTCGAACTGAATCGGACAATGAAGTCATCTGCACGAATTTGATCACATTATATATTGTTATTTTTAATTTCCATCATTTTTCTGAAGACACTGATTGGTTCATTTTACACTTTTAATATACTATTTTATTTCCCCTGTTCAAGGCCCCCTTAAAAGGTGTATAAACGACTGAACTTTCAGTTATAATTACAATATTCGGTTGAAGTAAACATACTTTCAATCTTATTGTCTTCTTCTTCTGGTGTCAGCTAAATATCGCATTGTTAAGAAGTCATTGTTGTATCGTTAATCGTGTAGTTACTGCACAGGATGAAATTGTCTACCGTCGAAACGAATGTTCGTTTCTCCTGAAAATCAATATATATTTATCTGTATAAATAATGTGCACGTCATTATTTGAATGATGGATATTTTGCTTATAAACTTAATTTTAGAGTAATCGATAGCTTTGAGTTCGGACACCTTCCACCTACTAAGGCCTGAGCAGTCAGGTAGTATCATCAGACCTCATACAATACGGTATAGGTCTTTGTCTAGTGCATGAAAGTTCACATGGTTGTCAAGTGCATTTTAGTTTTACGATCTGTATCTCTTAGTGACCATGTTATAGTAATTTTGTTTTAAATAAGGAGGGGAAGGTACCTGCCGGCTGAAAGAAGGGCTATCTTGTCAAACTCCCCAAAAAGGGTGACTTAAGTCTTTGCAAGAACTGGCGCGGAATTATGTCCCTGTCTATACCAAGCAAAATATGAAACCGTATTATCCTGGAGAGACTAAAAAATACTCTGGATTCAAAATTACTACCGGAACAGGCTGGATAGCTTCACGAAAAGCAAATCATGTATGGATGAAATTGCAATGCTACATATCATCATAGAACAGAGCATAGAATGTCAGTCCACTGTACCCGTACCTCAACTTCATCCACTTTGAAAAGGCCTTCGACAGCATCGACCGACAAGTAATTTGGCAGCTGCTTTAACATTACGGTTTTAGTGCCACAAACCTTTATCAACTTCATTCAACAGAAGCCATATGTTATGTGGTGCTACATGCCAAGTGATTCACAATGGAGAGGTCAGTAATGCCTTTGAAGTGAAGACAGGTTGACAGGTAAGACAAACTTGCCTACTATTACCTACGATCTTCCTGATTGTGGTCAACTGAAGTGGACCATGCAAGAAACGACTGTGAGGAGCGAGAAGATGGGTATACGCTGTTTGACCGATAGGAAGACCACAGAAGAATATTTGCATTTCACCGATGACGATTTATGTCTGGTGTCGCACAAACTCGAAGATGTACAGGCGAAACTTACAAGTTGACAGAAGAGACGAGGCAGCGAATACTGGACTTCCTTCAGGTGAACGTAGAGAAGACAGAGGTGATGAAGATACCCAGCCGACGACAACAAGAAGCACCAATCGCCATGCACGGGAGACATGTGAAGGAAGTTGTCTCTTTCACCTACCCACCTACGTCGGCAGCATCGTCTCAACTACAGATGGTATAGGCACAGATGAGGATGTGAATGTCAGGATGGGAAAGACAGCAAGACATGCCTTCCTGCATTGATCTGAGACTTGTGTGGAGATCCACTGCACTGCACTGCACTCAGCATAAAGCATGAACAAGATCCTGATTTTCAACATTAAGTGGGTCAAGTGAGTGCTTCTATGTGATGTCGTCTTATGAAAATAACTTCCAACAAACTGCAGACATACATAAACAGCTCTTGCCTACTCTCACTCGATACTGAAGATCAGATGACCAGAAAGAATGACTAACAAAGAACTGTGGTAATGAACCAGCCATCGAGTGGAAGCCAAAGAGGAGACGACGAGTTGGGCGTTCGAGGGTGATATGCAGGAGATGGTGTGAGGAAAAGGTGAAAGCTTCTGGATGGTCATGGAGCCAGGTTAAGAAGATTTCGGAGAAGAGAGTGAAATGATGATGTGCTACTGAAGCCCTGTGTTCCACAAGGAACCCGAAGGACAAATGACAATATATATATATATATATATATATATATATATATATATATATATATAATTCGGTTTGACTAAGAAATCTCTTTCTCGACGTTTTTTTCCCCTTATACTGCCGATTCCCTGTCTGTTTGTTACAGAAGGAACAACATGATAATGTAGAAGACGATTCAGTTGATGTACAGGTTAGTTATTACATGAGAATATATGCATAACCTTCTGTTGTAGACATCAGGAATAAAACCAAAGTCAGAATAATAATAATAATAATAATGGATATATTACACAAGCTTTTGTGATCAAGATGTTTACTCTATCAGTAATAAATGTTATATTCATTTATTTTTGTTGAATAAATTAAAATTGTTCTCTGGATCGGTGTTAAAGACTTCTGCTGTTGTTGTTGTTGATTGGTCTTGATAGTTTAAATTTTCATTATTTGGCTAAGTTATATTTAATATATATTCTATTGTTTCGATAATATGAGTTTCTAAGATATCTGCTAACTGTTTTACTCTTGTGCTCTTCTGATAGTAGTCTAAGTAGAGTTATAGATTGTGATGAATACAGACTTGTTATATCATTAGTATATATTCTGTTTTAATTCACTTTTGTTTATCTTAAAGTTATTATCTAATCGATGTTGAACATATTTATTTGTTGATAAGTAAATATTTTGTAATATTCCAACATTTTTTCATAGTTTTTATTCTTTCCTGATTTGAATGTTTATTTACTTTTCATTCAACTTTATAACTTCATTAGAATCAGGTAAGTTTTAATCAGTTTCTTCCTCCTTCTTCCTCCTTCTTCTTCTTCTTCTTCTTCTTCTTCTTCTTCTTCTTCTTCTTCTTCTTCTTCTTCTTCTTCTTCTTCTTCTTCTTCTTCTTCTTCTTCTTCTTCTTCTTCTTCTTCTTCTTCTTCTTCTTCTTCTTCTTCTTCTTCTTCTTCTTCTTCTTCTTCTTCTTCTTCTTCTTCTTCTTCTTCTTCTTCTTCTTCTTCTTCTTCTTCTTCTTCTTCTTCTTCTTCTTCTTCTTCTTCTTCTTCTTCTTCTTCTTCTTCTTCTTCTTCTTCTTCTTCTTCTTCTTCTTCTTCTTCTTCTTCTTCTTCTTCTTCTTCTTCTTCTTCTTCTTCTTCTTCTTCTTCTTCTTCTTCTTCTTCTTCTTCTTCTTCTTCTTCTTCTTCTTCTTCTTCTTCTTCTTCTTCTTCTTCTTCTTCTTCTTCTTCTTCTTCTTCTTCTTCTTCTTCTTCTTCTTCTTCTTCTTCTTCTTCTTCTTCTTCTTCTTCTTCTTCTTCTTCTTCTTCTTCTTCTTCTTCTTCTTCTTCTTCTTCTTCTTCTTCTTCTTCTTCTTCTTCTTCTTCTTCTTCTTCTTCTTCTTCTTCTTCTTCTTCTTCTTCTTCTTCTTCTTCTTCTTCTTCTTCTTCTTCTTCTTCTTCTTCTTCTTCTTCTTCTTCTTCTTCTTCTTCTTCTTCTTCTTCTTCTTCTTCTTCTTCTTCTTCTTCTTCTTCTTCTTCTTCTTCTTCTTCTTCTTCTTCTTCTTCTTCTTCTTCTTCTTCTTCTTCTTCTTCTTCTTCTTCTTCTTCTTCTTCTTCTTCTTCTTCTTCTTCTTCTTCTTCTTCTTCTTCTTCTTCTTCTTCTTCTTCTTCTTCTTCTTCTTCTTCTTCTTCTTCTTCTTCTTCTTCTTCTTCTTCTTCTTCTTCTTCTTCTTCTTCTTCTTCTTCTTCTTCTTCTTCTTCTTCTTCTTCTTCTTCTTCTTCTTCTTCTTCTTCTTCTTCTTCTTCTTCTTCTTCTTCTTCTTCTTCTTCTTCTTCTTCTTCTTCTTCTTCTCTTCTTCTTCTTCTTCTTCTTCTTCTTCTTCTTCTTCTTCTTCTTCTTCTTCTTCTTCTTCTTCTTCTTCTTCTTCTTCTTCTTCTTCTTCTTCTTCTTCTTCTTCTTCTTCTTCTTCTTCTTCTTCTTCTTCTTCTTCTTCTTCTTCTTCTTCTTCTTCTTCTTCTTCTTCTTCTTCTTCTTCTTCTTCTTCTTCTTCTTCTTCTTCTTCTTCTTCTTCTTCTTCTTCTTCTTCTTCTTCTTCTTCTTCTTCTTCTTCTTCTTCTTCTTCTTCTTCTTCTTCTTCTTCTTCTTCTTCTTCTTCTTCTTCTTCTTCTTCTTCTTCTTCTTCTTCTTCTTCTTCTTCTTCTTCTTCTTCTTCTTCTTCTTCTTCTTCTTCTTCTTCTTCTTCTTCTTCTTCTTCTTCTTCTTCTTCTTCTTCTTCTTCTTCTTCTTCTTCTTCTTCTTCTTCTTCTTCTTCTTCTTCTTCTTCTTCTTCTTCTTCTTCTTCTTCTTCTTCTTCTTCTTCTTCTTCTTCTTCTTCTTCTTCTTCTTCTTCTTCTTCTTCTTCTTCTTCTTCTTCTTCTTCTTCTTCTTCTTCTTCTTCTTCTTCTTCTTCTTCTTCTTCTTCTTCTTCTTCTTCTTCTTCTTCTTCTTCTTCTTCACCCTTGTCGATAAGGGTGACATTTTTATAGTTGTACTTTGTATTAAATCGTAGGTATGCTTAGATTTGAGTGAACTGGCAGTCTGTGTTATCGGTAAACAATTCGCTTCGGCAGTAGTAGTAGTAACAGTACTCCACTGTAGGTCGTATAGTGTTTCTAGATATATAAATATTTCTTATCTCTTATATCTGCAAATGGTAAATATACTTTATTGTCTTCCATTTTAAATTATAATGTTCATAGAAGTTTTTCCCTAAATTTTTTTCTTTCTATTCGTGTACTGTCAATCGATGAAATAGTACTTTCTTAACAACTGATAATTCATCCATTTTGGTTTTCTTTGTATTTCTACTAGATTTATCAAGAGATTTGAAGTTATTTCCTAAAGGTCTGTTAATTTACTATTCTTTAGTCTATCTGATGTTGATTCAAGTGCATGAGAAATTGTTTTAGTTGATAAGACTAATGTTTTATGAGAATCATTGAGTTTGAATGAATCTTTTATGCCTAAATGCATTACTTCTTCTGGAGTGGAAATATTCTCCTGTAGCAGCGATATATATAAAGTTCCAGCTGTAAGTAGTTTATTTCCATTGAACAAATTAGTTCGTATAACTCAGTCTGCCTTATTTATCAATAAGTTTATATCATCCTTGTCAATTATCTTTTCTCTTGTTTTATCTTATCGACTGTTGGTTGGAACATCACAGGAATTGGCGAGTTGGTTAATGGATTATATTTTCAATTCTACTTTCATCTAAACTCTTTATCATGAATAATGAATTCAAAATTGATGGGTTTTTTGTCACTTCTAGTCATTCCAATGCTTTGTAACTCTTGTGTTTTTGCATAGTTATCAGTTGCTAATGAGATATCTTCATCCATGATGTTTATATACTCAATTGTCATTCATTCATCTACAAGTTTTGTCCTCATTTTTTGATTTACTACTACTGACATACTTGTTTCTTGTTTTGTTTTATGGTGTGATTCTGTATCGATGCACAAATGTGAAATATCCTTATCGTTCTCTGAGTAAATATGACATATGGGAGGAATGTTGTCACTATGACATTTTGTCAATTTCAAACTTTGTCCTTGGAACTCATTTACTACTAGTTCTGAAGGACTTGTAGACGTATCTTGTTGTTCTGGTGGTTGTTTTATGTATACACTTTTTAATGTACCAGGTGTCATCCAATTTTTCTCTTCATATGTTTCGTAAATTGTAATATAATCCTGACTTACGGTTACGCTTTGTACGCCACCACTCCTTGACTGCATCGTATCCTTATCGAAACGCATTTCACTGGATAAAAGACTCAAGATATCTCGATTATTTCCTGTTGGTTCAATTGAATGACTGGCAGTTGGTCTATCGAAACCATTTAGTTCGTGGAATGTTTGCGCATAGATAGTGTTTAGCTTTGAATAACCTTCGATCATTTGTGATCGGTTATCAATTCATCGTTTATCATCTACTGTGCTAAATTCATAACGGGATGGCAAAGTATGTAAAGCAGATAATTCTACTGTCATGTGTTGTGTGAATTCATCCTGTTCTGTTTGTGCTTGGATGCAATCATTCATACTAGTAGGATTCATAGTAGCTGTTTTAAAACCTGAAGATTGTTGAACTTCGTGGTTGAAAGGTGAACTGATCACTTTTGAGGCATATCTTACCTTTGTGTCAGTTATCCATTGATGCTTTGCTGGCGCGTTATGCTCCTCATCATTATATGTCACTTGTATAGTTTAATTTAAACACAAATCAACAGCTTCTTAATTTCTAACCTTAGTTTGGTTTTGTGGTTTTTTTTTACCAACAGTGAAGTGCTCGAAGGGATCTGATTGCCAGGATTAAATAGGTTGGATTGTTGAAATATACCCATATTTTTGATATATTCTTCACTTATTTGGTGTATTTCACTAGGTTGTGACGTAAGTATTCTAGTTTTTGTGTGGATATTTCTTCTGATATCTTACCATCATGTACTTTGTGTTCCATTTTAAATTGGTTAGCTACTATTGTTTCTTTGAAGTTGTATTCATGATTATAGTCGTTGAAATTTCTGGGGAACGATTGAATTCCATTCTATGCTCATGTCTTAACTGTGTTATGCTATTTTCATCTTGAAATAATTTATTTTCTGTTAAAGTTGGAATAAAAATATTTCATGAGATTTTTATGTAATCATATAAAAGTCTACTAATCACTTTGTTAATCATATCTGTAGTAAGTTGTTGTGCTAAATGAATATCCTTTGATTCTTCATCTAACTCAGTACTATTTTGTTCACTAGTCCCATCATCTATAGATAGTGTACAATGTAGATTTTGTGCAGAAGTTTTCCTTGTGTTACTTATCAACTTTTCAAGTTGGATATTATCTTGATAATGGGGATAATTTTTGTGTATACTCTATGAGAGATAGTTATCTGGAATTCATTTATTTGGGATTTAAATGATATTGGCTCTCGTGATAAGCTTTCAGTATTACTGATTATTGTAGTTAGTAGTTTACCAGAGGTAATTCCTTTCTTAAATACTTTATTTAAATTGTTATTAGATGATACATCTATGAGGTTCTTATCAAGTTTTTCATTGTATCTCTGTGTAAATGATGCATCTAATAGGTAATGGAGATTATGATTTACTGATAAGGATGGATAATAACTATGTAAGTTTATAGTGGTATGTATCTGAATACACTACAACGGAAGTGGAAGGCATGATATATTCGTGTATATTCATGGATAGACTTTTCAATACTCGTTTGTATTCTAGAGGGTGTTTTCGATTTAATAAATAATGTATTAGAGGATGTATCTGTACATGTACAATTGAAGATTGTCTGTCAGACATTCAAATCATTTTTGACTTCCATATGATTTTGATATTCTCTTCTGTGTTGAGGATGGATAGTTTGATCATCTGGAAATTCAAGTAATAATAATAATAATAATAATAATCTATCACTATCCATAGTTTGAGATCTTTTATACATCGTTACTTATGCAGTATATTGTATAGGCAAGTTATCCTCCATAGTGAATCTATTCACTGTGGGATGAGATGAAATTATCACACTTCTTGCCTAATTATGTTGTATTTTGATAGTCTGTTTGTCATACGGTTGTTGTATGATATAAAAGTCATTCAACAAAAGTTGATTGTCAGTAAAAATGTGAATTTTTTTTCAATCTCTAGATTTTCTTGACTATTCACTTGAGAAAAACATCGTCCTAGATCCCCTAGTACTTGTTAATATTTCATCCTTAGTCTTTCTTACTAACATATCTAACGTTTTCAACTGTACGGTAGTGTTCAACACTACTCTTACATTTCTTAGTTCATATTTTAGTGTTATTAATTCATACCTTTCCTCTTTAGATTTTTTTTATAGCTCAATATCTAAGTCACAGTTGACTACCTGCTCATTTGTGCTAAATACTTCACTATCAATAGTCTGCTGTAGCGTTTCGCATTTCTAGTGACTTCATCATCATATCAGCAAATCTATCAACTTTTCAATTTCAATAATTCATGTGTCTATTTTTGTATTGATTTCATCCCTTGTTAATTTATGTAAGATGAAAGTCTTGTTAGGTATTTAAGACTTTGAGATATGCTCTTTTATTTCTGCTTAAGTCTCTAAAAGATAATTAACTTGATGTTTAATATCTACAGAAGTTTCAATTGGTAGGTTTTACTTTTTTTCTAATCTACTATTTTGAGTTACAATTTCCTCTTTTTCTTTTGTTTCTACAATCATTACAGTACAATTCTGATCCGTTGTATTGGTTGTTATGTGAACATTGATTTTGTTCTCCAGTATTCTCAACATGATACAAATGTTGTTGTATCATTTGAGGAAGTGTTTGAATAGATTGTTTTATGAAAGGATTTTCACTTTTTGCATCTTCTTCCTTCATTTTAGTCAACTTATATGTCTGATCAATTATGTGATTCTGTGGTTTCACTGATGACTTATCTACTACATTGACTGTTTCATTGATGATAGCTTGATTCTTTGAATGGTTTTCATTGTTTAGTTCATGTTGAACTATGCTGACAGGAACTTTAGTATCTACAGTGAAATGTTGATATTCATTTATGCTAAGATATTCTTTTTCGCCTATATTGATAGATTGTAGCATGATGTTGTAAAGTAACAGAGGGGATTCCTCCTTTTCATGAGTCAGTTCTTCCTCATCACTAGGCCGAAACTCTTTACTCATATCGGTATTCAACTCTTGTATGTTGTTAAGATCACTTAAAGCTGTACAGTTCGATTCTGCAACACTTTCAAAGGATTTTTGTGTGGAAACTGTTTGCAATATTTCTAATTATCCGCGAATTCATCAATGTGATCAGTTAATTTCTCGCTTATTGAAATCTGAACGATTTGTTCTGCGTTTAACTCTCTTAAACTGGTTTGAGTGTGTGCTTCACTTTCTGATCGTTCATCAGAATATGCTTCTATGGTGGTTTGTGTTACTCTGAGATATTGACTTTGTTCACTATCTCCTTCATATGCATCAGCATGAATCTTAATAGCAACTTCATCTTCCTTCAATATACGTTCATCTGATATATTTTTTTTGTCAACATTGAAATCGGATTTCATTGAGCCTACTTGACAATCAATGATAGTCTTCTCTGCTTCTATTGTACTATAAGTGATTAGGTTACTGCAATCGGTATAATCATTGCTAGATGTCGACTAACCACTGAATGTATGAACTTGTATTTCATATAGTTTATCATTTGATTCATAGATATTTGGAAGGACTAAGGACCTTTTCCCTGTTAACCGATAGTGGTCGATAGTAGAAACATAGAATCTATAGTTGTCCGATGGCGATATTACTGATATCAGTGATCTTGTTAAGAATTCGCTTTCGTTCACGGGTACTAGTGTGATTTTTGTGAAATATGTCACTTTGGCATTCGTCTGTTTAGAAACTTCAATAAAGGATATACTACTTTCCAGTTTAACTTCAATTTTATAGGGCGATTGTTGGGATAATAAATTAGACGAATCTTTTTTCGATTCACAGCTTAAGCTTTCTATCATGAAAGCGTCTTCTTCTCTGTTTCTACTTTGTTCTGTCAAAACACTATCCAATCTATTTTCTGTTTCATTATCAGTTCGTGTAACAGTCTCATGATTATCGTCAAACTAGTCATTCCCTTCACTAATCTCAATTGGTAACGGTAGACATGATTTCTTAAGCTCGTCATCATTGTATGTTTCAGTTGGTGATGGTATCAGCGAACCATGTTGCGGTATCATACTGTTACTTTTGTCAAGATTATCTAATTGAAACTGATTTGAACTACTTAGTTGTAAAATGGTTTTGCCTTCATCTGTTTCAATTCCTAGTGTTTTCTTATTGAAGACCTTTTGATTTGCATACTGTAACTCTTCTGTGTTCCTCGACTCTGAATGAGGATGGATTTCAACAAATCGTTGGTTATAAATTGGAAAATCATTGCTTACTGTTTCTTCCACTTCATTATTATCGTATGTTTCCCCGACTAGAATAGCATCTTTACCGGTTTCATTCAATGACTGGTCTATCTCATGAGACAACTGATTCGGTATCATAACATTTGTAGGTTTATGTAAGAGAGAAGAAGTCTCTATATCTGCCATTATTGAAGATTTTTCTTCAGAAAGTGGATATGAATGATGCCCATCTTGACTAAGTAACCTGACCTTGACTTTAATATAAAACTACCTGTTGATAAATTCCCTCCTGTTTGATTTACTAATTTATCCAATGACAGAGAGATACTTTTACTCAAAGTTGTTTTACCTTGTCCACTGCTAAATATTTTATCACATTTACCTTATGTATTAGAATACGACTTGGCTACATTTTGATTCTGTGTATCACATACATATTCATCTATCGTTATTGATGTTACATCTTCAACACTTAGAAGGTGGTGGTGCTGGTGATGATGATGACCTTTTTTGACTTTATTTTTTCTGTATAAATTGTTCCGTTATAGTCTTCTTGGTCATTATACTTTATGTTCATGAATAGATTCGTATCAGAAAGGAGGTGATTATATTTAACCTATGTACCTTAGTGTATTGTTGAATTCGTCTTCTTATTTCTTTTTTGGTATCGCACTCTCTGATTGAATTCCCTTTCATATGCTGTTTGTGAAACTGTGTTACACTACAGATTTTTTATATTATCTCGCTGCTAGTGGTGACTTGGTAGACAAGAACAATGCTTCCACGATTACTCACCTCATAACAGCTCATCTTTTGAAAGGTAGTCGAACTCGTTTCTTACATATAGTAGAAGCTGTGGGAATTCGAATTAATAATCCTAGTCTTTATGTCTAAAAGAAGTTTGTACATCCCTTATCTCTTTCCTTTGCTGGGAAAACAAATTAATCATTGAAATTTTTCCTACCCCTTTCATATGCTTACTTTATCTGTTCAGACTTTGTTTATCCACTTGCTTCATTTTTCAATATTACGCAACTTTTATTTTTCCAAGCTTTTGACCTATTTCATGCTACTTTCTTGGTTCTTATCATCATTATCCGCATCTATATTGCAAGTGCTCTAGTCAACGTTATCATTTGAATTATTATCACCATCGTTACTTTGAAACATTTATCACATTTAGAAGTAGTATTCATCATGGACTGATATCAGTTGGGGAACCATTGAAACTTTGGGAGCACTGCTTCCAGATGGATGTCAGGAAGTTCTAATGAGAAGCCGTGACCTATGGGGTCAACCAGTCGGAAGTGGAGTGGATGCCAACTGAAGACCTTGGGTGACAGTCGCGCTATGTCGTGAATTGACAGAAGCTAGAAATTGTGAACCACTGGAAACCTACCTAGTGACTGAATGATTAACGCGTTCGCCGTGAAACCTGACGGTCCTGAGTCCCATCCCTAGCCGGGTCGTGGGTGCGTACTGCTGAGGAGTCCCATACTAGTTGGACAAAACAGGTGTCCAGTGCTCCCAGATTTTCAGTGGTTCTCCCAACTGATGTCAGTCCATGATGAATACTACTTCTAAATTAAAAAAATCCCCATTCATTTAAAAAATGCATTTATCACATTAACCGACAAATCTACATGGCTGGTTTACCTATATATATATATATATATATATATATATATATATATATATATATATATATATATATATATATATATATATATATATATATATATATATATATATATATTGAAGCTTGAAGACGATTTAACTGAAAACAATATTGTTCGCTTAACATACGTCTTGTTCTAATTTACATGATGAGAATTTTTAAAAGACGAAAATTGTCTGCAACATATGTAATAATCAAACATATGAACTTGTTGAACTATTTATATGAAAATTTACGAAAAACGGTTAATTGAATCGCTAAAATACATAAAACTTGGAATGAGTAGAACAAAATTGAAATCAGTAGTAGACTTGCAAGGTAGTTGAAACGTGAATAAAATTGTTTTTGTATACATTAAAAAGTGCTTCAATTTACGGATGGTCAAGACTGAAGTAAATTTAATGGCTTTTTGTAGAATTCTTTTGTGTAATACTTTGAAAGCTTTTTTCATGTCTACCCTATGATAACTCGTTTCTAGTGTACTTGTGTTTCAGATTAAATAAAGATGGGTGTTTATCGCCTGCCTTTATAGTCATTTATTTTTGATACCAGCCACTTAAGTAAATATTCAACTAACCTTAATTGTATATCACAAACATTGGTAAACCTGAGACTGATGCTTCTTCCTAGTGTAGGACTCCTTAGCAGTGTGTACCCTTGACACCGCTAGAACTTAAACCCAGAACTTTCAGATTCCGCTGCCAACACTTCACACTTGACAACTCGTTATGCAAAACAATCATTTTACATCTATTACAACTAATGTATCTCAATCTGCTATTTGCTTATGTATTGTTAGACTAGAAGTTACATTTATTGTTGGATCGTCTATGATACTTTCCAGGTTGAAGTAGATAAAGTGGGGTTCAGATCCGATACCCATTACATACTTAGTTTCATCAACAGAATAGTGCTTTTACAAACTTTCACTTATAGTTTATGTAATAAGTCTTCGGTTCCTATTGAAAATGAAAACGGACTCATTTAACTGGTTAGCGGCAGAGTATATATAGCATGGGGGGGTGAGAGAACCGTAGTTTGCATAATTTGTAATCCTTGATCAAGTTTGTCTATCTTGTTTACTGATATTCTCTTGTCATCAGTGTTCGAGTGTTCTCGGGACTATGTAACAAGATACTGGTTCACAACATACTGATGTATACATCACTGCATCTCAAAATACTGATTATTCTTTCCTTAAAATATTCACTTTGTGGATTGTATTGAATATGGCGAAGGATCCAAACGTTTTGAGACCTTGTAGGGAGGGTGTGTTACTATTCCGTAACGTTTGACCACCTTACTTAACTTGATGTGCTCTAGTACCTGCTTAACCACTACCTTACTTAACCTATAAGTACTGATAACGAAACACAAATCAAAAGGACTGGTTACAGGAATATATTCGAAGAAGTAATGTATTTATTGAGAATAATGTAATAGTAATGAGTGGGGGAAAAGTTTATTCAACTTATCTAGCTAGTATGGCTGAACTAGGGACTCTGAGTACGTGTTTGTTAACCAGCACAAAGGCAGCACGAAATGGCTCCGAAGCCTGCTCATTAAAACGAAACTCGAAACACCTAAAGCATCCGGAGGTGAGCTAGAGGTTTATTTAGTTAATTTATTTAGCCGTAGTTGTATTTTCCTACCAGGATGGTGCACTACAACCTGTTCAACTACTCTACTGACCACAGATACTGTAAAGTATGTTCATTTCATTATCCTTTCATCAGTCATATAGTCTCAGTACTACTTAACCATCTTTTTTCTTACTAATAATTTGCACAATTCGATCAGTACTTAGGATTAGACAACATGAAATTGGAGAATAGCTCAGTGGTAACGTCTGTGATTGTAGCAGTGAGTGAAGTATGTTCAAATCTCTGAAAAATCATACGTTCGCTAAAGGTTATAGATATGCTCCCAACCACCTTTACATAGGAGTGTCTTGTGTTTTTTATTTAAGCACAAGCTTGAGACATGTGATGCACCGTGGTATGATAGATAGGTCAGCACTATAATATAAAAGCAGAGAGATTTGTTGGTATATTCAGACAAGTCATGCTGAAACGGAAGAAAGAAGAGATGATAGAAGTTCTGCAGAAATTTCTTCCGGACTACTCATCAACTTCGAACCCATCAGTAGAAAATGGATTCTTGGTTGTTAAAAGCAGTTTACGACATCAAATGCTTATCGTCTTGGGTGACCTACTTCCAAAGTCTGAGAAAGTAATCGCAAGGTACAATAAACACACCATAGGACTAAATCCAGGTCCTTTTCAGTTGGAGAATCAGTATGGTTTCGTAGTTTCGAGTCACCAACTAAAATGGTTAGTTGGATTCAGAAAACTAGCTCTGTCAAATACAAGTAGGAAGTTAGAGGAATGTTGTGGTTGTTATAAACCGCATCAGAAAACGTGAAGGCTTATATGATACGAGCAACTAGCTTCATTAAGATATATCAATGTAAAAATCTATGGGCCAATGAAGAAGCGAAGTGGAAAATGGTCGAAAATGCAAACAGAATAACGACTAAGCATCTTCAAGGGATCTCTCAGTCGAAGATATGCTGTAATTCACGAAACTAAAAAGATGGGAGTATTGGGAATGACAATAATATGAGAGTAAAACTTGGACACTGTGGTCGATTGTAATTCCAATTTAGTCTGTTTATTAGAAATATCACACAGTGAAGTAGTAGCATTCACTGGATGGATAACAACGTTTCGGACACAATTTATTGTCCATATTCATATCAGGTAACTCCACAACTTAGAGACAGTCTCTATATATTCCTAGTTTTCTCTCCTTCTCTGTGATGACAAGAGTAGTAGAATTTTCCATATATCTGGGACAGGTGCAGAATTATTTCGATTGCACGTGTTTGGTGTTGATTCGATAAACAAAGATCCAGTCGGTTATCAATTTCTCCCTCCCCTCACCCAACTAAGTTACTTTTCAAAACTGTCACCCTATCCCACCGTACTGTGTGATTCTGTGTCATCGCATGCAGAGCTATAGCCGAGTTTTTCTCTAAATTTCTTATCTTATTAGGATCTACTAATCTTGATTTAGCTAAGTTTTTGTGCTCTTTTATTCTAATTGACCCTGGTCGACCACTTGACCTCACAATCATTGCAAGGGATTTGATAAACTAAGTTATTTTGCTAAATTGTATCGATAAGATCTTTTAATCTACAAAGCTTGTTTCTAAGCAAGTTTATTGGTTTGAATGCCACTTTAATCCCAGCCTTATTTAGAATTCTTTGCAGTGCTTCTGAGGTGTCTTCCTTGTATGGTAACACAGCAGAGGATTTGAATTCTCTCTTAACCCTGTCGCTATTTTTACCATTAGTAGTGGGATTATTGTTAACAACATCTGTATTACTACTACTACCTCTGCTAATATTTTTCTTTCGATTTCTTATGAATTTATTTATAAACTTTGGTGGGTAATTATTGAGACGTAGGGTATTCTTGATGTGTTCAATTTCTTGTGGCAGATTTTCCGATCTACTAGTAAGTTTTTTCGCTCTATCACTTAAGCACTTAACTAAGCCTACTTTAACTGAAATGGGGTGGGAGGATTCGAAGTCTAAGTAGTGATTCGAATGAGTAGGTTTCCTATAGACACTAGTCTCTAGATTTCCTTCTTGTGTTCGTTCAGTCTTGCAATCCAACATTGCTAGTTCACCTTCATCACTTTCTAAGTCACAGGTAATTTGGATTGTATTCACTACTGAATTTATATGTGCCAAGAAGCTATTGATGTGTTCCTATTTCAGTAGTGTAAACGTATCATCCACATATAGGAACCATATCTTTGGAGTAGGACTAAGTGTTTGAAGGGTCACCTGTTCCCAACTATCCATAAATATGTCTGCGAAGATAGGGGATATTGGTGATCCCATGGCAACACCTTCAGTTTGTTTATATATTTTATTTTGAAACTTAAAAACAGAAGTTGTTGGGCACAATCTTCTCCTAGTACGATTTCCTCGATCAGCACCTTAGTTCGATGCGTAAGTTCTTTGTCATCTTTAAGTCCATTTCTAACTGCCTCTAGAGCCATTTAAATCGGTATATTTGTGTAAAGGCCATTTATGTCAAAACTAACCATTTTTTCACTGGCGTCTAAGTGTATGTCATCTAACCTATGCTTTAAGTCATAAAAGTTGGTAAGTCGAGACTTTGAGCGATTTCTTATTGGACCTAACACCATTGCTAAATATTTAGACAACTGGTAAGTCGGAGTGTTTCTAAAATCTACTATAGCCCTGATGGGATAACCTGGCTTATGAATCTTAATAGTACCATACATTCTACAGGGATTATTAGTTTTAGGCATTAAATTAAACTACTTTGACTCACATAGAAATGGCTTCATCCAGCGTATCATGCGGTGACACAGAATCACACAGTACGGTGGTATAGGGTGACAGTGTTGAAAAGTAACTTAGTTGGGTGAGGGGAGGGAGAAATTGATAACCGACTGGATCTTTGATTATCGAATCAACACGAAACACATGCAATCGAAATAATTCTGCACCTGTCCTAGATGTATGGAAAATTCTATTACCCTTGTCATCACAGAGAAGGAGAGAAAATTGTGAATATATAAAGTCTGTGCAGTTGGTTACCTGATATGAATATGGACAATAAATTGTGTCCGAAACGTTGTTATCCAGTAAATGCTACTGTTTCACTATGTGATATTTCTAATAAACAGACTAAAATGGAATTACAAGTTTTCCAAGTTAAACTTGGCAAATATTGGTCCAGTAAAATGGCTCTATAAACAGCTATATTTTCTGTGAGTTTTCTCCTTGAAGGAATAGATCTTGCCTTCCCAGTCTTGTCTTTCACTTGTGTGATCATTTTCTCTCATCATATGTTAAAGTTTTATGGGAGAAACCATCAATCAAGTTTTATTTAAGCACTTTGCAGTCAAATTAACTATCTACGTTTCTGCATGTTTTGCCTGGTTAAAGAAATAAATTACTTGCGCCAAGAGATGAACTATTTATGTAATGTAACAATACCGATGATCAAAACATCCGAGTATGCGTATTGGTAAAATTTCAAAAAGATGGCAAGCGATAGTGTTCATGACGCGACTCATTACATAACAATAAAAGCATTTAAACAAATAGCACAACAAAGCTCGAATATTATCTCAAAAAAGGGCTTTTATTTAAAGAAAATAATAGAACTGAGGAAACTTAAGCCTAACATTTGATTACATTAAAACTATGGTGGAGGACTGTTAAGTATGTTCATTGTCCAATGGTATGTAATTCAAATGAAATACTAAAACACATCAATTTTAAGTATGAGAAATTGAAAGAAGTAGTTCAATGTTCGACAACTTGTGTAAATACTCTTCATCTGGAATTGTCAACACCTATACTTGGAATGTTGATATAACAACAAACCGAAGTAATAATATTCAATGGATATGGTGCTTTTCTTTCAAAATCTTATCTGACTTGTTATTGTAATATCACGATCACATTTAAACGGATAATGAAATGAAAAGTGCATTAGTTCAAAGCAGGATTACATTTTGTTTAAATATCGTTGAGGTAAGTAATAAGAGTTAATCATTAAGAAAAGGTCAGATGCATTCGATACTCTGCCAGGTGTTTAACTTTTCGACATATTACGCAAGAAGTTTCAAGATCAAATTTCAAGTTAGTATCCATCATGGACTGACATCGGCTGAAGAAACATTGGGAGCACTGGGAAGCTGTTTCATCCTAGGATGGGACTCCTCAGCAGTGCCCATCCATGACGCCGCCCCGCCAGGAATCGGACCCAAAACTTTCAGATCTTGCGGCTAGCATATTACTATTGAGTTACTGGGTTGGATTCCAATGGTCCATATTTCCTGCTTGATGATGTAGCGCAACCTGAGTACCTGTCCTCATGCTTGATATGGTTCGCCTCATCTGTCACAACTCATCCAATCGTCGGAAAGCACCTGTCGAAGCTAGTTAACAATGAGCAATAGATTAAAACCATATGTAGGTTTGTCGGGACTCAAATATTGATTTCAGGTTGGTATTCGTCGTAGAGGTCGTGCTGCTTTGTGAACTGATAGGAGTAGGAAATATAGACGACTGGATTCCAACTTGTAGTGGACCCAAAGGATGTCAGGTAAACCAAATGACAAGTTATGTATACTTTACACACACAAAAATGGATTTTATGATACAGAAGTATGAAAAGTTATACATTATAACGCAAATGTTATTGTCAATGTTATATATAATCACTGGTTACTTGGAGGTTATCTCTTCGGTATTGTCCACGACAATTTCGGATACTCCAGAGATCAGAAGGCGATATTTGTTGGCTCTCTGCAGTGGTCGTTGATTGGTTTGATTGTCGTAATATTTGAAAGTAGGATGAGAGGTCCAGTCAAAATCTCAAGACAATCAGTTAGTACGCACGACAGGCAATAGTCACGGCGATAGAAGTCGGAATGGTCAGAAGCACACTATATTTTCATGATTAGCAGCAGCAAAAGCTGTAATTACCTCCACAAACCAAAACGTGTGTACAGATAAACAACATTCGTTTTACCAGTATTAGGAATAATGTACAAAATGAGTAAAAAGCGATGAAAGGAAACATTATTCTCAATTTAAGTGGTTTATGCACAATTTCATGCAGTCCCCACACAGCTCCCCCCCCCCCTTAAACATCAGGAGGAACTGGTAGAAAGAGAAAGTAATACGCACGCAGGGCCAAACCAAAAAAAATATGTGTATACAGATAAAGAATTACATTGCTAGGGGTTGTTGTTCAAAAGTTTATTAGTGAGGAGACAAAATTAATACGTATATTTATAAACTCACTGGCGAAATAGTAACGCACTGGCCACAGAACCTGAATGTTTTGGGTTCCATCCCTGATGAGATATGGCCGTAGATGCGCACTACTTAGGAGTCCCATACTGTAGCTTCATGTTGTAAATACAAGGTATGGTTTGACTAACTAACGATTGTTGAAAGCCTTCTGTCAGTTTATAAACCAAGAGGAGAATTACTGACAAAGTATAAGAACTAGATTTCTATCATCTGAAAAACTTCACCATTACCATCACACACTAATCGGAGCTAAAAATTAAACAACATGAGAATAAAATTCATTGGTTGATGAAGTAATGTCATGACAGCGTGGAAACAAAGCCGTAGACAGTAAACAGTTTTTATAACTGTAAAATTATTTTTTTAAAACAATTTCGGAATCCTATGAGGTTTTAAGGAGGAGAAATGCATCCAACAGATTATTTATCTGACATTGGGGAGATTAATACACTGTGTTGTTTCAAGATGGATTTCATTTTCAAGAATAGTATTCAGTTAACATAACCCTTCAACCTCGAACACAATACAAGAGGTTTGTCATAATATGAAGTAATTTTTGAAGACTAATTTTCAATTGCATTCAACCTGATCACATAAAGTCAAATGAG